ATTGCCGAGTCTGGAGCGTAAGTCTTTCCAACTCCAAGTCAGGGTTTTCTATTTCCACCCACCTGCCACTTCAAACATGACATTCCCAAGGAGTCCCAGAAAGCAGCAAATAGCAATAACAGTCTTCATCTTTCTACTATTCTCCCCAGGTAACTCATTTATGAGTGTTTAGGTGATTAGTAACTTTTTTAAAAAAAAAAAAGTTTGTTTATAATTTACTAGTAATTAGAAAAGCAATCAGTTTTTTCCTTCTGTAGAACTTTGTAAACTAAAATCTGTCACATCTGCAGTAATATCTAGCTAAGAACCAGGCTATCCCCACTTCCAGGCTAAACAAAGAATAATTTATCCTGTTACGTTTCCCAAGGACAACAGTCATTCACCTATCACCGCCTTCTTGAAATTATAATGTAAAACTGGGATAATTAAACTAGTCGAAACTTCAAGACCTATGGTGATGTAATCAGCCATAAAAGTGCACAAAGATCAACTACCATGCAAATGCCATTTAGGACACAGCTCTCACCCACAGGGAAGGGCAAACCACACCTGGCACATCACAAACCAGCCCCGTTTTATTCCCCATCTCAGGAGCTGTCACTTTTATTTCAGCTGTTGTCTCCATGACCCTGGAAACAGTTAACAGCAATCATGGAGGGGCTGAGAGGACATTATAATCTTGCCCATCCATCTCTACCCCATAACAAGTGTCTCCAAAAATGCTCCAGCTACCATTTTGTGGGTATGTGCACCCCAAGTCATTGAGATGCTGCTGCTTTGGAACTAACAAATATGCAACACAGTGGGGGTGGGGAAGAGGAAGAGAATTGTGAGGAATGGTGTCAGGAAAGGGACTATGGCCACCAGCCAGCAGTGGTGTCAACAGAACTTCAAGGTCTCCCACCAGAGCGCCACCATAGCTTCTCCCAGGAAATTATTTGTAGGTGGAACGGTTCTTTCCAGTTATTACTTTTTTAAAACTAATATGTAATATTCTCAGAAGGTCTCAGGCCCCATCCTAACAACACCACATTAACATTCTTGGATCCATTAACCCAAATATTTAAGCACCCGTTTGGCAGATGCCAAGACACATTGACAATTAAGACATTGGTTCCTAATTAAGCCACCAAATCCTTCCCAGTGCTTTGACCACTCAGTTCTGACACTTAATAGATTCGCATAGTAGTACCACACTGTGGATTTTTTTTTTTTTAAAGAGGTCAATGGTATTATAGGGATGCCAATAGCCTCTCCTGCAAGAGAGGTTAGAACACTTGCATAAAAAGCTAGGCCAAATATTAACCGGCAACTCTGTGCCCAGAGCTTTACTAACAACTGGACATCATGACTATCAGTGTAGCTAGAAAATGATCATTTCAGAGAACACTTGAAGTCTAGCACAAGGGATGACATGGGACATTAGAAAAACCAGTGGGCAGTGGGCAGGGAGCATTGTGATCTCCATCATGGAGGGGTGGCCCTCATCAAGTTCCTTCTCCACTTATCCAGGCACACTAACCGTACTTTCTGCTGCCTTGTGGTCACTTTAAAAAAAAAAATCTAAGAAGCCTGTGGTAATTTTATGAAGTACAGAAGACAACATCCGTAACTCCCAACTCAGTTTTAACATTTTGCAGCCTTTTCTATTCACTTTAGAATTTAAATAATTTTGAATTTAGTGTTTAGAGTTCTTTCTTCTCTCCATCGCCCCTTTACTCCAAAAGATAGCCACCGTCTTCAGTGGACTGACTCCTTCACCTCCAGATTTATATATACACCATGTCCACATAAGCTTATGTACAAAAATATCTAGTATTTGGTTACATGTTTCAGATAAATGACAGCATGTACTGGATGGTCTATAGGTTTGTTTTTAGTAATTGTTGATTTGCCAACATATGCAAATCTGGTTTACTCATTTCACTGTTGCATCATGTACATCTGGATACTCCAGTTTAGTTACCCACCCTTCTTTTAGTGGACCTTGACAAGCGTTCATTCACAAATTCCTCAAATGTTACTCAGACTGTGCTGCATGCAATACGGTGTGCAGACACTAGAGACAGAAATGATACAAACCTTACATTTGGAACCAAAGACAACAAGCTTCCTTATAAAAATGCCAAGGCCAAGGAAAGCCCACTGGCTATGCCAGCGGTCAGTCAAGGCCTCATGTGGAGAGCTCAAGAATGGAGCAGCCTAGAGATCTGTACAGGTGGAAGCTGAAGCCACAGGAGTAGACTAGCTGGTGAAGAGAATGCATATGACTCATCAATTCACAGAAACACAAGACCAATAAATTCCTCTTTGTGCCACAACATGTTGGAGTGGCTTGTATGCAGCCATAGAGAATCTGAAAGGTGACTTACTAATAATATCCAAACTGACTTGAACTAGCACCCCTTTAGAGCAAACTGTGAAACCCAACAGGAGCATACTTAGAACTTCTAGTGTTTGAGGGGTGGGATGGCATTACAACCTGCCATCAACATCTTTTCTCAACACTATCACATCACAGGGCCAGGGACACATCCTGCTACTATACCTTTCTCCAGCATTGAGGGCCTTCCTTACGCTACAGCCAGGAAGAATTCGGATATTTACAAAGCATCTTGAGTGATACCCTGTGTACTCCCTCACCGGCTCTTAGGACTCCACCTTGGAAAAAACATCCTGGGGACTATTACAAGATGGAATACTAGAAGAACTACATTATGCCTACCTGCACGGGCCTTCATCTATGCAGACATCAGCAAGATGTCAAATGAACATGTAACAGTTAACAGAATGTGTTTGGTAGTCGGGGCTGAAGGACCAAGTCAGGAAACCCAGGGCAAGCCACTTTGTCAGTTCTGATTAAGTGGCACCTTAATCAGAGAGGTGAGGCCCCCTGTGTGCAGAGCAGAGGTGATGTCAGATGCAAGGACACCAAGAGGACCTGGGAGCTCCACCCTCACTCCAGTGGGAAGGAGAATGGCTGCACATGAACCAGTATTGTGGTCAGGGCCGAAGACCAGTGGGGGACGGGTTCCCCAGAGACTCACTCTTCACTGGTCAGGGCCGAAGACCAGTGGGGGACGGGTTCCCCAGAGACTCACTCTTCACTGGACAGTAAGATAGGCTGGATGGAAGCACTATCTGAGCAAAGCTTTAGAAGGACAAACTGCAGGGCTATATGGGATAAAGAGGCCAGCATGTGTGACACCCAACAGCTGCCACAGTGGGGGCAGCAGACTGCAGACTGGCTGTGCGTTTGGGTGTTTGGTGTACAATCAACCAGAAGGAAATAAAGCCGGAATGCCAGACCTATAGGTGGACCAGAGAACTCGGAACATCCTGCCAGGAGGTCTTCTTTCTAGAAGCTGTAGGAAGGCATGGAGAGTTTCTGAACCAAAGGAGAGATGGGAGCTGAGACCCAGACAATGTGAAAGACACCCATGTGACCAACTAGCACACATGAGGACGAGACATGGAGTCCAGTTGTCACCAGCTCTGACAGCTTCTGTACCCAAGAGGCAGCTCTGTCAAATCCATAGGTAGGAATAGGTCTCAGTTGGCTTCAAAATCTTTAAAGTAACATGTGCCCCTAACTACAAGGCATCAATTAAGCAGTGGCAGTTCTAGATCTACACTAACACATGCTCGTGCACAACACTTCCAACCCTAAAGGATCAACTTGAGCCTGTACTTTCAGAAATTGCCAGTTTGTTAATTGTCTGGATCATGCATTTGAGCATGTTACCATTTAAAATGCATGCATCCATACATATAACCTGTGCTACATCTTCCAGAAGTGATTTGTAGTACAGTAATTCATTCCATACTGTCTTTCCCAGTCACTGTTTTGCATATCTACTCACCTATATAATAAACTTCGAGAAAAATTTCTGCATTGTACTTTGGTTTTTCCAAAATAACTGGCCCAACAGAAGGCATATGCTACTGCCTGAGAGATCCTTGCTCACAGCTTTGGCAATAGCATTTGGAGGTAAAATTGTTCCTGAAATGCTCATTTTTTCCCTGGTCACCTTGCCAAAAATATCCTTTAGTAGGTAAGCCAATTTCCTTAAGTGTTTAAGTATAATTTTTATTCTACACTTAGTTGTACATATTTATATATTACAGTGTGACATTTCAATACAAACAACGTGAAGTGACCAAGTGAGTAACTGGAATATCAACTCAGACGTTGTTAGTTTTAGGAGCATTCAAAACCTCTACTAGCTATTTGTAAATAATTGTCACCAGTAATGCTCCTGACTGCTAACATCAGAAGTTATTCCTACTATCCAGCTTCACTCCTTTACTGTACTCTTGTTCTGTCCCCACCATATACACACACCTTTTCTGGACTCTGGTAGCCACTATTCTATTAGCTTTTTAAGTTTTTCTGAAGCTTGATTTACAGGAATTCTTTAAGGGCCAAAGACAATGAGCAGCAACCAAAGTTTCCCCCTTAGAAAAATTAAAATGCCCTTTGAAGACACTGGGGTCCGCCCATGAGAACGAAACCGTCACCTATTGCCAAGGATTTGCAGATACGGCAGAGGATGGTAACCAATACCCCTTTTGTTGCACATCCATCTGGATTCAACCAGCATCTTCACTAACCTGGGAAGTCGCCACCATCCCACCCACAAGTAGGTCTTCTACTGCTATTCCCACTGCTATGGTCCACTCCCTTTATTAAATCTTTTTGGGAATTTCTGGGAGGCTACTGGAGATTGAATCCAAGGGCACTCTACCAATGAGCCCCTAGGCCTTCTCATTTTGGGGACAAGTTCTCATCAAGTTTTAGAGGGCCTTGCTAAATTCCCAAAGGTGCTCTCAAACTTGTGATCCTCCTGCCTCAGTCTCCCAAGTCTCTGGGATTACAGGCATGCACTACTGTGCCCAGCATTGGGGATTTGGAGAAAAACACCAAGGTTCCAAGAGTCTAAATTTTAAAATCAGTGTTTCCCTAGCCTTTCACACACTTCAGTCTTCCTAAAACTGACCTCCGTTATGTTATGATGCTGCACAGTGGAGCTACTACCTCTTGGATCCAATTCATCCAGACAGAACCTCATTGCGTTACCACTTCCCCTAAAGCTAGGCCTCACATCGTTTGAACATCAATAAAAGAAGTACGTACTTGATACTATCAAACAAGCTTTGTTCCAAGTTCCAAGTCTGGAACTCAGAATTTACCTTCTCCATAGAAACCATCCTAAAAGTGCTAGGTTCCCAGGACAGCCCACACATCCTGTAAGCTTAATAGATGGTCAACATGCTTCTATGAGAAAGGGCACCTCAAGTCACTCGCCACCAGCTATATGCATCAATATCCTTGTGCCACCAGAATAAGGTATTTTCCCCAGTTAGGGGGGCCCCACCTGAAGACAAAGAATAACAGCCCCACCCATGCATAGACACTGGAGCCACTTGTCACTAATCAAAGGAACTCGGAACAAAGCCCCCTAGTATCATTCCAATGCATTACATGCTATGAAGGACTTTCATAAGTATTTAGAGCCTGGCCCCTTAAATAATGAACATTTAGCAATCCATAAACCCCATTCTGTAATCCTACAGTGATATCATGAGATTGGAATACTCAGGGAAGAGATAGATGTGTCCAACAAAAAACCAACTCGCAGCCTCCAAACTTCCACCCAAACCTGGCAACTCTGCTGCCTTCTTTCCATCACTTGAAGCTGCATTTGCCACTGTGCAGGAAGCCCTCAGGGGTACGTGGCCAACATTTGTTTTTCAAATAAGCCACCTGGCTTAACCCCATATCCAGTCCAAGGCAGCTCAACTTCTGCCGATTTAAATTCCTATTTGCATACAGACTTGCACTGAAAATTTCCCCAAAACTTTTAAAACTTATTAACATGAAGGAAGGGGAAATGGCATCAGAAAAGGCAAACATTTAACAGAGAGAATGACATGCAGTGAGACCAACTTTCACTCTGAGGAGCAGAGAACCAGTGGGGTCACTCAGTCAGGCCCACCCTATAACTATAGACCAACCCGAAGCCGGTGGACTTGGGCTATTTCAGGGCTGCTACTTCATGAGATTCTAGCATCTGGCACGCTTCTGCAGCTTTCTAATTTCAGCTGCAGAGACAGAGTCCAGGAAATGAGGCAGACACATCTAAGGGCCTGCAGAAACAAAGGGAAGAACCCAAATGAATAACTGCCTGCCTTGAAGGGATTTCAAATAAGAGGCTCAAAGATGGAAAGAAAATGACAAGCCAAAAAAGAAAGAACCATAGAAGCAGACATAGCCCTAAGCTGTAATTCAAAAGCATCCTGAAACCAAGAACAGTGATGGGAGGAAGGTTGACTGGGTCTTAACACTTGAAAGATGAACAGAGAAGATGGGAAAGGTTATGGGATAGCCCAAGGTCACAGCATAATGCAGAGGGAAAATGGGGCTCCCATTTCTGGGTTCTAACACACTTCACTAAAGCAGCCACTTTAAGCCCACAGCCTTGGTTAAGCATCAGTTTTTAATCAAAAGAGACCCACTCTCTTCATAAAACTATAAAAAAGAATTACAACGTGTTATGGTTTAGATACAAAGTGTCCCCCAAAAGCTCTTGAGACAATGCAAGAAAACCCAAGAATTTCACTTTTAAATGATGAGAGTCTTAACCCAATCAATGCACTAATCCCCTGATAGATATTAACTGGGTGGTGACTGGAGGGAGGCAAGGTGTGGCTTGAGGAAGCCAGTCTCAGGGGGGTGTGTCTTTGGAGTATATATTTAGTCTGGTGAGATGAGTCTCTGCTTCCTGGTGTCAAATCCTGAGCCATTTTCCTCTGCATTCCTCAAGGCCTGAGGTATGGCAATCAGCCATCTATGGACTGAGACCTCCAAAATCCATGATTTCCCAAATAAACTTTTCCTCCTCTAGAGTTTCTCTTTCCATATCTTTTGTTCAAAGTAGCCAAAAAGCTGATTAAAACAAAGGCAACACACAGATGATGGGGTTTCTGGAAGACATCAGCCAGGCATTTGACAGAACCATAACCTTCAGGCTTCTGAACAGGGCAACACTTGATTTCCTAATAAGCCACAATCATGAATAAATGTGCCTGACATTCTAGAGCTTCAAGTGGAATGGAGTGGGGAGGGAGGATGCTTATTACAAGCAGAACACAGTACATTAAGCACATACTCTAGTATTAGTTCATTTACTGAATCAATGAATAGATGTACAGCCTGTCGAGTTCTAAAAATATTTTCAAGAATTTGAAATCCTAAGCATGAGAAAATTCCAAATCCATAAAGGATGAAGAGTGACACATTTGACAGCATTTTCTTTTAAAAGAGTCTCCATATAAACAAATTTTAAAACTGGCAGAAGAAACATTCAGAGAGAAGTGTTTAATATTATTCTCAAAATGCCCATGTGTCAGTAAGAAAATATGAACCATTTATAAGCAACAACTCAAAGAAATACAAAGAGCAGGTAAGTATGTAAAAGATGCTCAACCTCCATAATTCAAAAAATGACCATTAAGAAAGATGCAGTATTTTACCCTACAAGCTTTGCAACAGAATTTTTAGCCATTAGTAGCAGCAAGAAGTAGGGAAACATGCACATTCCTACAGTTGACCTAACTGCGAAATTAAACTTGGATAGCAGCAGGGCCTCACCAAGTCAATCTAGGAATCTCCTCAAAAATCACTTGAGGGTCAAGAATAAGGAAACATGGATGTTAGCATGATTTATACTGCAAAATTGAGAACTGGCCTCCATGACCATCAACGAGGGGATAGTAAGATCACTACAGTCACCCACGCATATCTGGTCACTAATACGTACCAAGCTAACATTTGATTCATGGAAAAAAAAAAAAATCAAGGTATTTTAACTGAAAACACAGGTAACTAATGTTACATACATTATGATCCTTGTTTTGCTCTAAACACTTCCTCAATCTATGAATACACAGCCATGTAAGCAAATGAACCGTCTAGAAAGGTTTTACCCAACCTAGCTCATTTTTGAGCAGGTGGGCCCAGAAAAGGAGGAAAGCTGTTATCATGGATGATGCTCGACTATTGTATTTTCTGTGTTCCCCTATTTTCTGTAGTTCTCATGCATTCTTTGATTAAGAATTTGAAGACTAAAGATTTTATTATGAAATAGATTTTTTAAAAAAAGAAAAGCAGTAGTTCATTCTAAAGAGAAGAAATAAACCATCAAGGAAACACCTGCAGAGATGATGCTCACACCACCCTGTCCCCACTGCACCTTGAGAACATTTATAAAAAAGGGGAGAGGAGGAAAAATGCTTTTATTAGCGACTGCACAGCCTGTGGCCCTCTGGCTCTTAGAATGCTTCCTCCGTAAACCTGGTATGTAACACAGGCCTGACTCTACTAGTTCACTGCCTGTTGACTCAGCCAGCAACAGAAACCCATGGTCTTCACCCTTTCCTGCACAATCTCCACAGGCAGCACCCCCCTTGAGTGCAACCATTTCAGAAAAATGTGCTTCTGCAAAAACATCCACTTCCAGCCTGACAAAAGCCAACTATCCCATGGAGGCTGGTGCCTTGGCATGACCTCCAGTTTCACTTATGAAACGAAAGAGTAACATCCTGTATTCTCAGCACAACCAGGCCTGCAGTGGACCCAGGAAATCAAGAGCCAGAAAACCATAAGTAGAAGTTCTACAAGCTACTTTACCACGATGACACTTCTGCTCCTCCACAGGACACCTGGGTAGCTGCTAACAAGCAAGCAAGTGTGCATACTTGTAAAGGTTAAATTTAAGTTTTTCTCTTAAGTTTTGCTTTTCTGTAAGTTTAAGTTCTGTTTTCCTGGAACCCGAGACTTATGTTAAGAACAGTTACTTATGTCAAAATGTACCCTGACCCAACACCCCCTGACAAGACGCATGATTATTCTGTAATGGTTATTTTGTAACAATCCCACTCTTGCACCCTAACTGCCATATGAGCTTCCCTGTTTAAACACTGTATAAAAACTCTGCTTAAGCTGTACTCGGGGCTCCAGTTTCTCTCAGGAGAACTCTGGGGCCCAGCATGCTGGTTCCCCGCCCCCAATAAACCCTTTGCTTTTGCTTGAGACAAGTCTCTTGGTGGTCTCTTCCTCCGACGTTTGCCCGACCCTAACATACTCAAGTACTAGAGGGGGATGGACCCCACAGGGCACCCTCTGTGGAGTGTACACAGGTAGGTTAGCTCTGAGCTCGGATACAGCCAAATTCCACTGTGAATGAGCACAGGCAGCTGTGAGGCCGGCAGGCTTTGAGGCAATAGCCTAAGACCATTTAACAGACACAGGTAAATGCAGGAAATCCATGGCCTCACACCGACTGGCCTCTAGTTCTAACAATCTGTATGAGGAATGCTCAGAGGAATGCACACACGGCCACCACCAGAACCCAGACCTCTCAATGCAAGTCCAGCCTCAGTGTAATCCTGAGCGCACCTATCTGAGCCACCCACCTGAGGTGGTCTTACGCTTCCCAACCAACGCTGTCTTTAGAGAAGGAACGGGATTGCCAAAGTCGGGGGAGTCGGTTTCAATTCTGGTGAACACCTTGGCCAGTGGCAGCCAACTCCCAATCCTAAATCCTTCTGTTACCCAGCCATTATTCTGGTCACTAAGTTCATAATCTCAGGAAAGACTTTAGCTTCAACTCCCCGAGATAATCAATTCACTTGCCATCCAAGCCAGGACACTTCTGGGAGGCAACGGAAGCCCTTTCTACCTTAGGTTGTACCACATGACCTCATTTTTTCTGACCTGCAGAAAAGGCCTCTCATGATTTGCCTGAGCTAGAACTATGGGCACAGACTAGCTGCTTGTGAGGCAAACAAGGATATGTGGTCACCTGGCATCCAAGCCATTCTCAAACCCTTCCACACCCGCCTCCCGTGTCAACCCACTTGCCATTTTAGTGCCGTCCTTCATACAGTTGTTCCTCACTTTTCAAGCAAGGCTTTGAGTGCCATGGTCTCCCCACCTTCAGCCTCTCCTCTACAGCCCATCCCACCAACACTAGTGGATCCACTTTCCCAACACTCATGTCTGACCACGTCACTCCAAGCTCAC